AAACATTTGCCTTGTCACCGCTCCATGTTTTCACTGATAACATCTCATCAGTAGAAGAAGTGTTGATAGATAATGCCCTACACTCAATGTGCCAATAAATTTCATTTGTTTGTGATTGTTCAATCTCCTTATACAGTTTCCTGCATCATCTTTTCGTGGGTCAATAATAAAATGGCTCCTTGATGTAGTTATATTGATTTGTTTTCTTTGGTTGGTGGTAAATTAATTTGCCTCGAGTAGTTTGAGCTAAGGTCAGCTTGACCTTTTTAAGAGACTACTTTTCTTGTGCCTGCATAAAATATACGGCCTTTGTAGTTTGAGAAAACACATCAATTAGACCTTCGGCCAGAGAGACTGAAGAACCACGTATCCTTGAGATTTGCAATTAAATATACATTAAAGAGAAATGGCCATCAATGCACTGCCCCTTCTGGACATCGAAGACCTTTGGAGGATGACTCCTAGTAAGCATTAGCCAAGTAACACATCAACACCTGTTTGCATGGGATTTGCGTCAGAGAAACAAACCACTCTGAGGCTCAATGCTGCTGGCTGAATGCAACTGGTGGTGTTCTTTCAACGTGATCTCACGAGAATACGTGTGTATTTTTACATAAAGTGTGATTCTACCAAACGTACATTTACTTACGGTTTCATACCCATTGCAACGTACAATATTGACGTATTGACAGAACTAAAACGTAAATTATTTATCTGTAAATATTTTGCTTATTTTTCCTTGCTTATATTCACCATAATTATTATTACTATTATTCATCTTTTTGTATAATTATTTCACTTATGTATAATAAATTATCTTTCTTTCGCATTAGGTGTTGTCTCTTGCCACCCTAATCACACCAAATTGTATCATGATCTCAATGTTACCTCTTTTGACCTTAGATCATAAGAGTTCGTAACGGTATTTAACTGTCATATCAATTACATGTTTTGTCGCATTTATTTAATGCAGTTTACTCATCTACTAAATATGAAATAATAACATTTCGCTCTGTTCTGTGACGTTCTTCCAGTTTTTCCAGTCTTACAAGCTTATAAAAACTCCTAGGGCCCTATCTTGCACCCGGCGCAAATGACTTTGTACACTGACGCATGTATCATTCCTATTTTGTAACCGCGCAAAGCGGGCTTTTCCCTCCACAGACGCACGTCGGTAAACTAGGGAATGAACTTGCGCTCCCTGGGCGGGTCGGCGCAAAAAGGAGACGTGTTTCCGCGCAAACATTCCCGAGTGCTATTTTGCAGTTCCAGAAAACAATTCCGCCACTGACCAGAAAAAACCTAGTCTAAAGTCAGTGGCGCGTTGTTCATAATGCTATTTTAAGCGCGCATGCTTGGCCATAATGTAGGGGTGCACAACGCGCATACACTTTGATTCTCTCATCAACACAGATGCAGCAGTTTTTATTTTTGCAAATCATACATTATAACAAGGAAAAATATGAACACATGAGGGAAATCATTGTGGTGTCCATGAAGATGTAAAAAAAAAATGTAGGCCTAAATCTAGCTTACACATTTACCTACATTTTTCAGGCTAATTGTAGTAATGACGGATCAGACCTGTTTGCCCAATAGTGGCAAGACACATATGTATATAAGGACATCTGACAAATTAGTTTGTCCGTCAAGAACCAAAAAAAATAAAAAATCTCCCATCCCCATACAACGTCACTTCTCTGTCTTTCACTGCCCTGACAAGAACGTCGGTCTCCTCGGCTGTGAACCGCTCCTGGCGCGCGCCTGGTAAATCCGCCGTTATAATAGCAATCCGCCATGCAACATGCGCACCTGCTCTTAAAGGGTATGTTGGATGACGCTCTGATTGGTTTATTTCACATTACGCCCAAACCACACCTATGAATAATGAAGCTATTTCAGACCAACCCCTTTTAAACTTGCGTCGGGCGCAAGAGTCATTTATCCCGCCGGTAAAATAGCAACAGCGCCCAAGACCCGCCCACAAAGTTACTTGCGCTTCGCGCTTGATACTTGCGTTTCAGATCATTAAAATAGGGCCCCTAATGTGTAATGTATACAATTATTCAATAGTCTGATTTGATGTTACGGTGTGGGTGGTCAGAGTACCGGCGAAATCTTCAAACTATACAGTTGTTCAGCATATTAGAATGATTTCTGAAGGATCATGTGACACTGGAGACTGGAGTAATTGTTTTGCCACTGTTGCCTTGGCTTTTGGCTTGCTTAGTTGGGGACATTTAATATTCAACAATATTATTGATCTGCCTTACTTAAGGTGGACGTTGACGCAATTTTCTTCCAGAAACAAACTTTGTTGTATTATTTTCATGTTATCACTGTGAAGCTGCTTTGATACAATAATGTATTGTAAAAAGCGCTATATAAATAAAGGTGACTTGACTTGACTTGACTTGACTAATGATGCTGAAAATTCAGCTTTCCCATCACAGGAATTTTTTTTTAAAATATATTACAGAAAACAGTTATTTTAAATTGTATATATAATTGTACCATAATACTGTTTTACTATCTTTTAATCAAATAACTGTAGCCTTGGTGAGCATTAGAGACTTCTTTCAGAAACATTTCACAGACTTAAATAAACGAACTGTATTTTAGCACTGCCCATGAGAATGACACAAACACATTTCACAGTGTTACTTGCAAAATTATGTGAGGACTGCAAGCCGACAAGTTCATTTGAATTTTTCATGTTTCTTATCAAACAAGAGCCTGTGAATTATTTACCACGATTAAAGTACATGTTAAAGAAATCATTATCATTAAGTTTTCATTCTCGAAACAAGAAGAGGTGTATAATAGTTCCTTCCCCTCGTGCTGAGTGAGGGTCGGATTTGTGATGGCTTGGATTGTGCAAGTCAGACGGAGATATCTTAGGTAACACATGTTTGTGTACAGGAGCGTGAATGATTGTGTTTATCAGCGATGCAAGTGGGAAGCATTATTGCCAAGACACACTATACAGAGAATCGTGATTTGCACACAGTTTGAATAACAACAACTAAAGCGGCTTCAGAATAGCAACTGCAAGACAACCTCCATCATCAACAATGGCTTAAATCGAACACAGACCCATCAGTGTGATAAAAGCAACTTTTGTCAAGAGTATCTGAAAAGAATTCATATTTTTATAATTCGTTTTTTACAGTTGACCACCATTAACCACAACAAACCAAGCTAGCTATCAAAAGAAAACCCAGATACGGATAGCCTTTAGTATCTCCTTGGATCTGTGCTTTGGGTCATGTTCTAAATATATAACTTATTATGAATGACCATTAATATTCCAGAGCTGTTTCTAAGGTCGTTTTCCCCCCCCCATATAAAATACCCCTTGACTGTTACTGCATTATTAACATTCCTACCATTAACACTATCCTAGTGGGCAGGGATACTATTCCACACAGTCATATCTCCTTTGTCTAACACAATGCTTTTTCACTGCAAGCTATTGACTCTATTAATGTGATTCTTCCCTGAAGGGCATTGTAATGCTAAAATGTGGGAAGTGATTCAGCCACTGGGCTATTTATAAACCTGTTTCCTTTTTAAAATCAACCCTGCAGTGTAGATGGTTTTAAAGGGCCATGACATGTGTGGCAGCACAAGTCAAAGCAGCCAATAAAGTCGGATTTTCTTGCACACCACTCCAAATTTGACTTTTACTTCAGAACATATCCCAAAATGGAATGAATGTTCTCAAATATCTTGTGAACAAATTCTGTTCACCCTCGTGTCATTCCGAACCTATATTACAAACTTCTTTCTTTCAACGTTTGATTATAAAAGAAGATATTTTGAGGAATATTTTAACTCTTATATCCATACAGTGAAAGTCAATGGGATCGATCTCAACATCGGACCCAATTAACCTTAACTTTATTGAGAACATTTTTTGTTTGTTTGTTTCTTTATAGTTTAATGCCATGCCAGGCTATATCTACCATGGCTATATTTATGGTGATAAAAAAGTGAAAGATATAAAAAGTAAGTAATTAAATAAACAATGTAGCCTACACAAACTTTTTTTATTTCCTTTTCTGTTCTGCAGAAGAAAGAAAGTCATATAGGTTTGGAATGACATTAGGGTTAGTAAATAATGATCTCCTTATTAATATATGGAATTTAATTGCTTCATATTTTCAATGCAAAAACCAAGGTCATTATTGTTGGAAAAAAACTCAAACTAAAACCATGCAAAAACATTATAAAAAAAAAAAAAAAACGTTTTTGTTACTTAAGATAAACTTTAACTGAGATAAAAAAAATATTTTAAAAAGTGCAAACTTGTTTTCTTTCAGCTAGTTCCCAAAGTAACATTTTTAATTTGAAGTGCTAAAACAATTCAAACTAAAATAAAAAAATGAATAAAAACTATATAAATATGTAAAAAATTAGAAAACTGACAAAAACACAACAAAATTAATAAAAATAACAAAAATGGAAATTAAAATGGAAAATATAAAAACCAATTCAAACTATTAATAAAAACCTTAAGTGTCTCAATGATACTAAAAAAAACATTGGCACAAAAAAATCGAATGCATCAGAAATTAAATGATGTTTTATTAACAAAGTTCGAGAGGAGCACATAGTCTACACAATCATTATGATTAAAGAGGCCTATATATATATATATATAGCCGACTCACCTTCGTTCCTCTGCAGTCTTTCTGCATCCCGACTCCTCACTCTTGGCTAGTTCCTATCCCAGCCAGAGATACGGGTTGAGTACTCTGGGTTCGGGCCACATTCTGAGCTCGGAGCCTTACCCCAGACAGCATGCCAAATACCCATACTATTTTACACAATCAAATTTTTTGTAAGTGTGAACTTGTGAAATTGCAGCCTTTTTTTTAAGAGTGTGTGCTAGAGTAGAACAAATGCCAGTGCACACTGCGGCTCACCTAGACGTCTATTCTTATCTCAACCTCCAAGGGCATGTTCTGTGTTTAAAGTCATTGCAGCATACTCACTTTTTCGGCCTGTAGTCCGGAATGTTCCTGTCCAAGGAGATGCGGTCACTCAGTTGAGCATTGTAGCCGTACTCCTCGTACCTCCCTTCGCTCTCTCGGCTGTCCTCCCCCAGCGTAGCAGCTGCACCACCCTGTCCTAGACCTCCAGGTCCCTCCACCAGTCCCATGGGTTTGGCTAGACCTGCAAAGCAGAAAAGATGTTTGACTTCAGTTGACATGACAAAGGTCAAAACATCCCATAAGTATGGTAAAGCAAAACTGGGTTCATTACTGCGGGAGTACCCACCAGTGACATGCAAATCATAACTGCTGAACAAGAGTATGGGCGATAATTGGATGTTGGACACCAAGACACCACCTTCGCCTTATGTCACCTCTTTCATACAGATCTCCCGGGAGGAAAAGGTGGAAAGCAAGTGAACTGTGTTTAAAGGGTTGTCAGTGCAGAGTAAGTCTTCTTTACCTTTGGAAATTCAGGTCTAATTTATCCTGTCGCTCTATGCTAATTAGAATGGGATTGATGCAAGGGTTGTTTCCGGCACAGGGCACATCAAATGCTGTGTAGTTTGACACCCAATGAATATGACGAAGAAGAATTGTACAGAATGTATCCATTATACCAGATAGTGAATGCCAGATGGTTGTTCCTAATCAGAATCATTGGTCAGAATAATTGGCGTTATTTAAAAGTCTAGATTTAAACCTTTGCCGTGCTCTTTAAAAGGGATGAAATGTGTAACATCCATTAAAGATGCCGTTTCATTTTGACATTTAAAAGAGCATAATTATATGTTTCACTAAATTATTAACAGCTACATAAAAATTCTATCAAGTTTCAGAAATAAGTGTATGATCCAAGGATGTTCGTTTTAAAAGCATTGAATTACAAAGTGTTTCTAAACTGGTACTATATTGAAAGAGGGAAATATCTTGTATATTTTACTTGCTCTTTTCATAAACTGTGCCATTGAAATTCAGAATATCAACCTGTGTTTAATTTTTTTTTAAATTAATAATTAAAATGTGGCATGTTCTATAAGCTGCTGCACAATATCAGTCAAATCACTTAAATAACCATACATTCTATATCAATGTTTCTACGTAGCTTGGCAAACATACAACAATAAGCTAATAAACTACTTGGCAGAGTTTATTTCCCAATGTTATCGATACACATACGGATATTTATTAAACATCGGTGTCTTTTATCATATTGCTGTGGTTTGTTACTAAGTGACAGTGTGTATATAACACAGTTTATAAATAAATACAGATTAAAACAATTACCTAAAACAATGCATAAAATAAATAGGGTATTTCATGAAGTATTACTTTTAGACTGAACAAGGCTTCATAGGAAGTGAAAGAGAGAGTCTAGCTCTAGTCAATTATATTCATATTGACAATGCACAATCCCAAGTAGGAAACCAGGGGCAGTGTTGTCATAATTAACTAAAACTAAAATTATTTCAAATGATTGAAATAAACATTACATAAAAATATGAACTTAAAAAACTTAGATTAGAAATGCCTTGGCAACTTACTGATATAAAATAAGTTTAAGTATTATAATTAAGAAAACTAAAAAGCTTTAAGCTAAACAGAAAACTAATAAAAATGGCAAAGCACATAAAAATGGGTAAAACAAAGTAAAGTAAAAATGAAAACTGAAATATAAAAATTCAAAATTTTAATAAATACTATAACAATATATACATAGTAGTAAAATAACACTGACGGGAAGCACTTAAAATCAGCATACATAAGGACAACCCTTAACTGTGGAAAAGCACAAGTGACGTATTGCGTTATTTTTCTGTGGCCATATAGGATTGATATAACAGCTCATTATGACTCTAAATGTTCATGTTTCTCAAGACCACACATTTGAAACCTTGTCTACCAGGCAAAAAGCTTCCATGATCATAGGCTTATCCTTTCACAAACATCATTAGAATTCAAGTAATTCGGAGTGATTTTTGAGAAGGGATGGTTTGGCTCTGGGGGATAACCATGCTTGGCAACAGAACGTACAGATTGTGTCTTGGAATCCAAACCAGGCTGTTCCACAAACACCAGTTGGTGCAGCATTAAATCCTATTCCACCCTGAACCCTAAAGCAACCACAAATGGCTGGTCTACATAAAGTATTCCAGGTCTGTCTCTCTTCCTGGCAGTCGTGACCTCCCAGAGCGTTGACTTGACTTGGAGTCTGAGTTCTTGCATCATAGGTGTTCTGGCAAGCTTGAGCTGAAATTGTAATGTCTCTCTGAAACCGTCTGAGGGTTTGTGTCTCTTTCACTGTCATTGTTATTTCCATTGTCTCGAAGGCTGCCTCTGTTGGCTGTTTTGAGAGAATTCTATTACATAGCGGCCTGGCATTTTGACACTAATCCCTGAGAGCCAGCTGTCTATGGCAGAGAGAAACTGCATATCAATGATTTAATGCAGTGGTCTGCTAATACAATGCAAATACAATCACTTGTTAAGTGCTGTACAACCAACTTAACAAACTGAAAACCAATTTGGCCAGGCTTTGAGACCATCTAGACCAGGGTTTCTCAAATCCAGTCCTAGAGGGCCACTGTCCTGTTTACCTCCAGCCCTAATTAAACACAACCGAACCAGCCAATCATGGCCTTCAGAGTAGGCCATCCAGGGCCGGATTTGAGGGACCCTGATCTAGACAATAAGAACACCCCTTTACCCAGGCTGGGAGACCTTCTAGACCAAGGGTGTCCAAACCTGCTCCTGGTGTTTTGCAGAGTTTAGCTCCAACAAATCACACCTGAAACAGCTAATCTTCAGACTCGCTAGAAACTTCCAGGCAAGTGTGTTAGAGCTGGTTGGAGCTAAACTCTGCAGGACAGTGGCCCTTCAGCAGCAGGATCGGACAACCCTGATCTAAACCATCTAAGACTAACAAATAATAAAATACACTGCAGTGTCACCTCTTTTCTCACAGTATCTGAAATTGCGTGATCAAGGATCCGGTCTCTCTAAACCCCTCCTTTCCGAGAGCCTATACTCTGCTCTGATTGGTCAGATGGCCCAGTCTGTTGCCATTGGTCTACCACTTACACCGCGAGTGTAAAAAACTTCCAGGCAAGTGTGTTAGAGGTGGTTGGAGCTAAACTCTGCAGGACAGTGGCCCTTCAGCAGCAGGATCGGACAACCCTGATCTAAACCATCTAAGACTAACAAATAATAAAATACACTGCAGTGTCACCTCTTTTCTCACAGTATCTGAAATTGCGTGATCAAGGATCCGGTCTCTCTAAACCCCTCCTTTCCGAGAGCCTATACTCTGCTCTGATTGGTCAGATGGCCCAGTCTGTTGCCATTGGTCTACCACTTACACCGCGTGCCAGAAACTAAACGACCATTACCATATCTGAAATTCAGCTCCAGAGGCTTCCTCAGCACTTGTGAACAGTGATATGGACAGTAATGATGGCATCAGTTTTATTGTATCAATTCGAGCCCAAGTCTTCATCCTTTGAAAGTGGCAATATAGCAAACGCCTCCATGAAAGTAGACGTAGGGTATTTCAAACTCCAAACTAACTAGCTAACTGACTATTTTCGTGGCTGCTAATAAATTTGGCAATGGAGATTGTGTTTTAGCTGCTGTTCAGCTCAGAGATGCTATTAACCGGTGTCTATGTAAATGCGTGTGTACTCATATAATAATATGCCTCGAAGGCTGTAAAGAGACAGCAGTGATTACAGTGAGCTGAAGAAATTAAGTTACAAAGACCAAAGGAAACAGGCTCTGTTTGTGGAATAGCAATTATTCTGTTTTCTTCCCTCTTAAAAAAAATCGATAGCCCTCTTACCAATATTTCATCCTCCAAATGGAAAGGGCATGATAGAGACTTGTGATTTGTACTTTTCTAGTTTACAAATCTACAAGTCTGGAAACTAATCGGCAGTTGCTTTTAAACCATTAGCACGGTTTCTGTTTCTATTTTCAGCTCTACATGAAAATAAACGTCATAATTACACCAATTTATGAAATACATTTAAAAAAAGCAACAAACTAGAAACAATAGACCCTTTCACACATACAGTCTTTACAGTAAATTACCGGTAAATTACCGATAACAGATCATGTGTGAACAGGACCTTTTCAAATATACTGATAAATTGGTTCCGTCAATTTACCAGTAAGGGAAGTTGTAACATTACCAGTAAACTACCGGCATATGCACTGTGTGAACACGGAATGAAGATTATTTCACGTTCTTTTGCATATACGAGGTCAGAACACGCTGACGTAAGAAGTGATTTGGGCCAATCAGAAGGCATTGAAAAAGCAACGGCTCTGGGCCATTCATAAAATTACGAAGCACTGTTTACAAATGTCTTCAAATTGGAGTGATACCGAAACTAAAGCACTTCTCGTCGTCCGGGCGGATGAAGAGATTTGTCAACAACTTTAGAGATCACTTTGGGTTAATGACATCACAGAGTTTACCGGTATTTTGGAACTGATGCGTGAATGGTCTGAACAGCACATTTTTTAATTTACCGGTAAAGTCGTTCTGGCAATTTTACGGTAATTTACCAGGATTGCTGCGTGAAAGGGGCTATTGTTTAATGAGGTTGCACATATTAGGACACATATAAAATTTACAGACTTCTTATATGGAAAAACTGACCAAAGCACTGTTAAACTAATCATTTATTTTGCATTCAGAAATGTATACAAATTAAATGTATGCCTAATGTAATGAATAGCAAATTATGTTTTGAAATGGTAAAATAATTTCAACATGGCTGATGGAATATTTCATTTCAAATTTGGAAAATAAAAATAAACAATGATATGATATAATAATTCATGCACTAGATGGTAATAAAAACTGTTTCTATAGGAAATATCTCAGCACTGGAACTGTAATTTGTGCTTGTTTCGTGCATTCAATAAAACACATGTGTTCATTTTTAAAAGTAAAGGGAAAAGGAAAATAAATGGGCTCCAATTTGGTCTCAAAATGTCAGCTAAACAATATAGAACACCATTTTTTCAGTTTTTTTGTTGAAAAAGTGAAGGATGTGTGTCTGAAATTCTAATACTCTATCATGAGTCTCTCTCTCTCTCTCTCTCTCTCTCTCTCTCTCTCTCTCTCTCTCTCTCTCTCTCTCTCTCTCTCTCTCTCTCTCTCTCTCTCTCTCT